ATTAAGCATCATATTTTAGCATTTTCTAATACTATGAATAGATACATACTTTTACACCTGAGGTTAAATTAGTAATTTTTTATATTTTATTTCAAGGTATCAAGAACTGTGAAAATTAACTGTTGAAATGATTTTTTTTAATTCTTATTCCTCAAGGTATCTAAATTGCATACATATCATCTGAAACATGGAATTATATTATTTTCTGCAATCTAGCTTCCATTAAGCTAGGGTTATTCATCTTTTAAATAGAGATGAAACAAAAACTAAAAAACCTTTCTGATGTAAGCTTCTCTGAGAAGAGCAAGTTATTGTTTTTCATTGTCTAACCATATTCTATTGTTTATAATGCATGCAAAGTTAATGAACTAACTTAATGTGTTTCTTTACAAGTCTGTACATTTCAATAAAGTTATTGTTCTTGAAATGAATTATTTATATACTGTTTCTTTAGTTTTGTAACTTGATCCTTAGGTGAAAACCAACAATGCACTTTGAGATTGTAGTCTGTACTCTCAATAATCATAATTTTAGTGTCTGTTAGTTTTTCAATAAATGCTAGACAGATTATTATAAGTACATCATGAATGAAATTTAGGTATATAATAGTGTGAGAAATATACTATCTGTTTATATTAGTTTTAATACTTTAGACAATTTTTATTGCACCTTTCTTTTTAAGAAAGTCACTGAAAATGGCCTAAGTAAGATTTTAAGGCCTACTATTTGCCATGCATGTAAACTGTGACTATCATGTATCATGTTTTGTATTTGAAATTTCTGTGTTTCAGGTTTGATGATTTTTACAAGTTATGAGTACTTACATACAAAAGGATTAATATAAAACTTTGACATTCCTGCTTACATTAAATTAGTGTGCATATTCAACATCAATTTTGTAAAATTATAACTGCATAACAAGTAGGTCTGTAGAATTAGTGAAAAAACTAAAACTAAAATATTTATAAAATTCTTGATACTAAAAAGATATGTTGAAAATTTGGCAACCAATTTTTGCAACTTGAAAACTTAGGAACCTTTTTTGATCTTTTTTTATAACTTTTTTAAATCAGTGCCACCATCATATTGTGAGATAGTGCCCTCCTTTTTATATGAAGCTGGCAATAAGCCTGTATATTGGGAACATGCATTTCATTCAAAACTTTAAATTATGCATCAACTCTAAAAATGGAAGATCATAAGTGCTTAAGACTTAATACCAAGCTGATCAAAGAGAGCCATATTCATTTTATCTCTACAATATATAAAATGGTAAGTAGAATATATATATAGCATGTGGTTAAAATCTGGTATCTAGGGTTTTCCACAAAAATACTAAGAATTAGTATATATTAGTTTAAAGGTACTGATTATTTAATTATAGGTATGTCATTATATACTATATATAGCTTATTTACAATTATGTAATTTATATGGTTAATATATTGTTGTGTATCTGCTTGTTTGATAATTTTCCGGTATAAATTCTTTCCGAGGAACTTCAGCGATACAAGTCCCTTCTTGATTAAAACTAATTTATTCTTTCTCAATACAACTTTGTAATACACAGAATTTCCACAGTCACTTTAAACTTAACAACATTTATAACACACGCTATAAATCACATTGATTCCCACACTTTACTTACGGTGCCTACTGTTTGCTTGACTCAATTATCTATCACTTCAATATCTATCTATCTATATCTCTTCAATTAATCATCCCGCAGGCTTTATCTGCCAGGCTTATATACTAAAAAGGGGGCATCCCGAACACACGAGGAAATTCATGATCATTCATCACGTGACTTGCGCTGTCGTAACAACACATTATGTATATAATATGCAGTTCTAGGTTCTCCAAAATAATTCTCTAGTTTTAATTGTTTATATAAATTGGATTATATATTTTAACCCTTTCACTGTGGTTGGAACGTATATTTCCCAGTACTCCCACCTCCTCACACTGTGACTGAGACAAATGTTTTCCATTGTCATTCTAAATTACTGCCCGAGACATATGGCCCTAAAATGAGTTGAAAAGTATTTAATGGCACCCCACCAAATGTTGATATATGGTTTTCCTCATTGTTTTGCACTCAGCCCTTCAGTAAACAATATGATGCCAAAACAGAATGTACGACAAATGTAAATACACCAATTTTACTTTTTTTGACTTTACCAGTGACTGTTGCGACAGTGGAACAATCATTTAGTAAACTTATAAAAATTTATTTAAGATATAAAATTGACCAAGAGTGTTTAAATTATATTTTCTTTCTTGCTATAGAAAGCAAAATAGCTAAAGGATTAGATCTAACACATGTTTTTTTGTCAATAAGATAGCCAGAAAAATGAAAATTTAGGCTTTCTTTTTTTTGTGTGTGTGCTTGTGTTTCTTGTTCTTTTTCATTTCATAAAAACATTTTTAACAATATGAGATTTATTTATGTGTTTTACAAAAATAAATAAATGAATTTAATTTACTATGTGCTTATATTTTTCTGGGGGGGGCCTTTATTAATTTTTACAAGGGTGCCTTAAAATCGTAGTTATGCCACTGGGTTTATAACACGATGACAATGGTTATTTTGGCCAACCTTGTAACCACTAGGTAATGATGAAAGTATCCATATTATAACTTTTAATGTGGTAGTTATATCTTCCCAAAATTTGGCAAGCGTTTAATAAGCATTACAAGTCTTTTTATATGTAAAAAATCAGACTTTTTAATTAAAAATTTTTACTGAAGATTTTTTCATGAACATACAATGTCAAAGTGTTGATTTGACTGAGTGCAAGGCAATTTTCATGTTAAGTTTAGAAATACTTTTCTCCAGTTTACATTTTCAAATTTCTATTACATAACCTGTAAAATCTCCTAAATGAAAATAAAATATTTTTTCGGTAAAACTTTATAATTTGTCTGTTATTTTCTCTACCCTGATTATATATGGACTTGGCTGATTTCACTGACCTTCTAATCACCACAAAAAAATACAAAATAAATCTAAATTATATTTTCTTTTTAAAATGAATAAAGATTGTAAAAGAAACTATAATTGTTTAATCTAAATAGTTAATTCTGTTTCTACTTAATTTTATTGTTCTATTGCCCACTGAACTGTGTCTACTAAATAATACAGTGATACAAGCTGTAAGTGACTAGGCAATTGCATAGCTCAAGTTACTATAATGAATGACGTAACACACAAGCTACTTGCAAGCACACCTTGTGAAATTTTTTTAAATTTTTTTTTCTTATCTAATCTAACATTATAATCTAATAAGTTTCTAATTTTTACATTATGTTGTTTTTATAACAATAAGTAAGAAACATACATAAAAACAGGAAACTTAGTACTTACCTTTGAACTCTTTTCTTTTTTCTTTTTTTTTTTGCTGCTGGCCCACGAATGAAACTTAAGCCTACTTTTTTGTAATGATGGTACTAGTACATAAGATATTTTTTATTTATTTCAAGTATGCACTTAAGAAAACACAGTAATAACATGCACATACCATGCCTTAGTAATATCTGTACTATAATGAGTAATGTACATTAAACTCAGGACATCAGAGAGGGGTGATTAAAAAAAATAGCGAATGGGCAAGTGAGAGCAAATAAATGTCTCTATACACATAAAAGAAAAGATTGGGAAGCTATTTGAATATTTCCCTTTAAAACTCAGAAATTAAAATTTATGTAACATTAAAATTTGATTTATTAATAATGTTTAAATGCAAAGTTTATTTGTACATATTGATAATAAAGTAGTTTAATTAAATTGTGAATGTAACTCTGTAAAAGGTTGTGGCATGCACACTTTGACCTATCTAAATCAAAAAAAAAGGTTAATTAGTTTTTCTCTCTCCCTGAAGCTCAGTTTGTTAAGTAAACTATAAGTCCTTTCTTTGTAAATAATAATACTGTAATGGTGTTAAACCTTTAAGAGTAATGTTAACAAATTCTAATTAAATTTTTTTATAGATTCTTAAGGTAGTGCAGGGAGTTAAATATCTGGTAATGGTGCTGTCCTTTGTCCTTCCCACATTATTTTAATTTGTGTTTCACTGTGTTTTTGTGCATTTGTGTCCAGTCTTCTTTTTCTCAAATCCAGTCAAAATCAAAGAACTCAGAATTACTTTGTAACAGATATCTTGTTTAACCTCCTGTTATTAAGCAGACCTATCCTGTTGCTCTAAGGCTTACTCAGTTTTACCTGAATATGCCACAATTATACAAAAGTACAAAGTAAAAGCAAAACAACAATTACTTTAAAAAATTATTTTAGTTGAAAATCAAATAGATATTATCAAAATGAAATGGAAAATGACAATGAAAAGTAGAAGGAATAAAGCAGAAAAGCAATAAAAAAGATAAAGAATAGAAATAAGAACATATAAACACATATTATGAGTCAAAACAGAAATATAAAAATGAAGAAAATTCAAACAGAGAAAAAAAAACACTAAAGGTCATAAAAGAAATAAAGAATAGGGAAAGAGATACTTTTAAAACATTTATAAAATATCATGATGATCAAATATCCATGGTTAGAGATCACTGCCATTCATTGTTAAAACATTTCTTAATTCTCTGTAACTTTTAAATTTGAAATCACAATCTAAGCATTGTGGATGATGATTGTTAGTGGTTTAAACCCAAAATGTTATGTCAGAGATGCTTAAAAACAATAACAAGTGCAATAAGAAATGAAAGATTACTTCAGAAAAAAAATATTTATGACTATGCCTTGTGATTTTATGTAAGTCAGAGTTCCTCAGCTGTCAAAAAGTGATATCATTTATTCCTTGCAATATTTATTGTCTGTTAAATAATCAATAACGAATTTAAATTTCAAAAGAAAAACTGATAAAAGTTTTTGCAAAATAATTTTCCAGAAAATTTAAATATCTAAAGTGAGAGGTTAGTCCAATTATCCTAAAACAAGAACATATTTATCACAATGAACCATGTTCTATCTCTATAGAGAACTCTTCACAAGCACATTTTAGAGTGGTTATAGAACCAATTACAATTGTTTTTTCTATCCATACATCTCCTTACTCAAAACCATTTAATGTTTTACCTCCATACTTATCTCTTTTCAAGCGTGGATGAAGCATGTGCTGGTATTTCTTGACTTGTTCTTCATTTCCTTTAAATACTCCTGATAATAAATAAATTGAAGAAGACTTTAAAACTGAAATTTCTAATGCATTCAAACATGTAACAGTTGAAAACATTCATTTCAAATTATTTTAATGCAATTTAAAAATACTTGCCAACTGGAAATATAGAGATACCTCCAGTTGTGATTATAACATAACAAATGCTCACACTCAAATTGTTACTTACCATCCAGAATCATGAAGATGAAAAACATAGGCCATTCACATTCAATGTTTTCAAATTGCTAAAAAGATATGGGATTGAAAATAATTTCAATTGTTCAAAAATGTTTACACACACATACACAAAAAAAATACAATTATATAACATAAATTTAAAGTATTAATCTTAAAATGAGCTCAACTTGTTGGCATAACATTTGACATTTTGACCAGTGAAAAATTCTTTGCTTATATACACATCTCTGCACAGAAAGAAGCATTTATAGACACAATTTTTCTTTGATCAAAATACTGAATTAATTGTTATGCTTAATGCTGAAAGTATATATTTAAGCTACTTATTACTCTTTCCAGCCCCATATCTTATGTTTTTTTACATGGACATTTCACATTATTAAATTTAAAAAAACCTTGTATGACCTCTACCCCTCAAATCATACACAAAATAGAACTATAAATGAAATACTCATACTTAAAATCCAAGTTTTATCTTGGATAGAATATTAAAAGAGAATTCAAACTAATGACTCTAATTTAAATTTTTGTCCCCTTAATTGTATTTTTTATTAGGATAACTTCTCACTGGACAGCTCAAACTTGTCAACGTTCAAAACTATTCAAATCCGTGGTCAATAATAAGTGAAATGTGATACAGTGGGTGGTAGCAGAAATCTTTTTAAATGTCATCAAACCTTAAAGGTTTTCCTGAGGCAGTTGCTGCCTATTGTATAACATTTTAAATTTTGTTTTTCACAATCTATTTGCCATAGACCTCTCTCTCTCTCTCTCTCTTTCTTATATGGATTGAAACTTGATATGAGATTAGTTATTATTTAGAAATCATATTTAATCACATGCCTTCAAATAATCTAGCTACATCATGTTTGTATGCCCATGTTGAAGTAATTACTCTAGCAGTTGCTTTTTGCTTTAAAAACACTTTTGCTAGTGTATTAGTACGAGTTGTTAAAAAAGTGACTTCCTAGCAAGTTATAATGAGTTAACCCTTTAACTCAGTTGATAAAGCACTTGCCCACTGTTTCACAAATCTCAGGATAAAATATAATAGGGTAGGAGGTGGGAATTTATATATATATATATATTGTATACATAATTTATCACCCTGGTAATTTGAAACTATGGAGACATACAGTGGACTTCACCCCATCATGAGCTTAGCAGAGGTCTTTTTAAAACAGCTGTGAACAATTTTCAAAAACAATTACAGAGATAATTTTATAAATATGATATGCAACATAAATACCATGTACTTATATTAGCTTTAAGAATACAGAAGATATTTTATTGCAAATTCCTTCCCTCAAAGTGGACTAATAACATGATGTCATTAAGCCTGTGAGAGTATCATTGGTAATAAATGTATGTAAAACCTGGCTTTCAGGTTAATGGTTATGAATATTGCATAAACCATAGTAAATAGCTATATCAAGTATCAGTTTTTATTTCATTATAAAGTTAACATTTTCCTTACCTTTTCTGTTCCTAAATAACACATTTCCCAATTGAGTTGGTTATTAAAATTTAAATCAACTGATCTATAGATAGATGCATCCCAAATCAGTTGTCAATGTGTGAAATGAAGTTCTTATCCTCATAACTGGACTTTAACTTTAATGTGGAATATAACATTTTAATGATCAAAATATTATTGTAAAAAATTGCAAAACCACTAGTCATGCAGATAGATATAAAGAGGTACTCTTGAGTTATAGGAATCTTATACTAAAGTTATAACACCTCTCTCTCTTACACTGTAGCATAAGCCTACTACAGGCTGCTAATGCTGTTGAAATTAAAATATTTCAAAATAGTGCAAAAAGCCTATGGTTAATACTATAACTTGCTTTTATTTTCTATAAAAAAAATAACCCTGTCATAGAGAATGGAGAAGATAACTTCCATTTTATTATAAATCTTCTAACTCCAGACAAACTACTAAAATGTAAAGTTATTCGTTCATCCATCGGTTCCAAGACAAATGTTACTTTGTGAGGAAAAACAACTAATCACCTTAACATAATAAAGTTCCTCTAGTCAAAAGTCTAAACAGAATCTACATTATCTAAGTAAAACTTTCCATTAAACGTAATCTAGTTTGCCTAGTTAACAGTTTCTATTGCTTATTATGGCTGATTCAAGCAGTATAACTTTTAAAATGGATTAGTTTCCATTGTAATGATTGCTTACTTTTGTTTCTCCAGCTCTGTAAAACTTCCGAGAAATATCCTCCTCCACAGTACCATACCCATCTCTTAGAAACCTTTTGAAACCATAATTTCCCTGTAGCTTCCTCAAGATTTTGTCTTTTGTGCGAGTATAGATGAGCTCATCATGTGTAGCAAAACATGGAAAACTGATGACTGGAAGTAAAGCTCCATCTGTATTCTAAATAAATATATATATTTTTGTCCACAAGTAGGGTATTACCCAAAGATCTTGAAATTCTAACAGCAACTATACCTAAACAACATTTAAACTTCATGTACCACTTTTGTTATGCCTATATATAATAACTTACACACTTTATAACACTACAATATTAAAAAATATATTAACATTTTTTTTTTTAGTATTTATGGTATGTCTATATCTGATACACTTAATATAACAAGTAATTAGCACAATATTACTGAACCTAAACAACATTTAAACTTAATCTACCACAATTATTATGTCTACTTGTAATAACTGGAATTCAAACTTTTACAAGTCAGCACACAGCACCCACCAAATCTGTATATGAATCCCATGATTCACAACTGTGTAGAATTCATAAAAGTTATTAGTTCCTGTCTTCACACGGTAGGTTTTTCCAAGCACTACTCTCTAAGGTTGACCTTCATTGTATCAGCATACTAATAATTATAATTTTTAATTCAACCAACAACAGTGAAGTACCTCCACTTAATGCTAAGTAGGATACTATTATCTTCTCTACCATCTAGTAACAATGTTTGACACTTCTCATGTCTTTCTTATAATAGTAGTACCCCATTATCATTTGTGTCATTTAGTAATATTGTGTGAAACTTCTCATGTCTGTTTCTTGTGTTGACTTCTCTGGCTTATGAATATTAGACAACAGCTTGAAGGCACTTAAGCAATTATTTTCAAAATAAATGTACCTTTCCATGTTTTTTTCTGTCCTTTTTTACTCAATAAATGTGGTTAAGTGTAATTTGTTTGTCTTTTTGTTTTTTCTTTCATTAAGCTTTTTATCACTCTTCCTATACTTATTTGTTTATTTTGCAAGTTTACTACTTGGGTATCTGCCAATGATGAAAAAGTTTCAAAATTTTAGTGTCAGGGAAAAGGGGGACATAGGCATTAAAGTCAAACCAACCAAACCACATGCAAAACAACTACAGAATTATTTCTCTCCTTCATTCTCTTCTTGAAACTTTTCCTATAATTTCATTTGACAGCAACAGACCCACTGCTTTTAACAAAAATGGTTCCACTTTGACATAAGTCATGGAAAGTAACTACTCCTAGATGCAGTTACTAATGGTAAACATTATGCTTATTGAAAGACACAACATTACATTACTCCAATTTGCGATTACTGATGGTAAAACTTCTGGTTACAGACAAGACACTACCACTAGATGGAGTTACTGATTGTAAGACTCCTGGTTATAGAAAGATACAACAGGACACTACTCCAATTTGCAGTTTCTCAGTGTAAACCTCCTGATTACAGAAAATCAAAACATTACACTACCCTATTAACAGTTATTGATGGTAAACCTCCTGGTTGTAGAAAACTAACATCATGAAAGAGAGAGTTAGATATAAATCAGAGAAATTAATTAAAATCAAGCAAATACCTAAAAGTGGTATAATAATCACAAGAAAAACATCTTACAGATTATGGATATGTTGTTAAGTTATGGTGAACTGATGCTTACCATGGTGCCAACTTTTCTATCAAATATATAAACACAAGTCCAATCTAACACATGCATAATTGTTAAGAGAATTCATCATTGAGGAGGCTAAAACTCTCCCTCTATGGATGGAACAATGTTTTAAGTGTGAGAAGTATGGACCTTTTCTCCATAGCTGCTGGATATTAGGTATGGTAAAAATCTGACGAATGATTACCCCAAAAGTTTATGGTCAAATCACTTGTGCTAATTTTAAGGAAAACCAATCCTTTATTTCCGAAGGTAAATATGTCAATTAGCTAAAAAACTCAATTTGCCCACATTTGACAGCAATTATCACAGTCAAGTGAAGTTTTCCAAACCTTTAAGTTAAAGCCAATTAATAAACCACCTCCAAATGTTACAGGCTGATCCACCTGTAAAAATCCATGTCCAAATTCATTAAGCAATTTTGTTACTTTAGTGCTCAGTAATCCCTAAAAGAAATAATAACTCCAGATCTGTTGTATTCACAATTAAATGAGCTATCAAGTATTTAAATATAAAACTTAACGATCAGTGAAAAACAGAACCATACCCTGTAACTCTAAGTGGAAAAAGTTTAAAACAAAACTACACAACAAGAAGAAATACAACACTAGGAAATGCCTTTAAAAATAATGGATAACCAAGAAATAACATCAAGCTGGCACAAAAGAACAAACAAGAAACCACCAATAAAACCATGCTGCAGCAAGACTCTCCCATTTACATCAAACTTAGCTACAGCATTCATAAGAACTGCAAAAAAAATAAAAATAAAGTCTGCTTCAAATCAACTTGAACCAACAAACAACAATCAAGCACATAATTTACAAAGTACTGTGTACTTGTGGAGAAAAATTCATAGACGAAACAGGCAGGCAGACAGTTAGGCCAACGTCTTAAAGAACATAAAGATTCCATCATGACAGAGTAATGAAAACAAACACATCTATCATTAGTGAACACAACAGGAAAGGAACATATCATCGACTGGGAAAAAATACTGAGTGACTGACATACAGAACTAAAAAACAATGAAGAAAGAGCAACATATCATAAAACATGAAACAAACACCCAATAGAGACAAATGAGTAGAAATAAACAATTTGAGGATTAGACTAATGAAAAAAAAAACAATTAGAAAACAGAATCTCCATCAAATAGAAAAAAAGATCACATGAGAGCCCTTAACTAGGAATGCATCAGAACTTCACAAAGCTGTCCATAATATATCACAACAACCTGAAGAAGACACATGTGTGAGCTGTAAAATGTTATCACAGAATAATATTCACAAGATATTTGATAGTGAAAAACTTATTGACAATGCATTCTTGCCAACCATGTCTCTGAAACAGCAACTAAACCTTCCTATTGATCAAAACCCCAGATCTGTTGTATACACATTTCTATGAACTGTCGAGTCACAATAAAACCCATAACTTCCTGTTTATCTAATTAATGATATTCTCTGACACAAGGATTCTTAGCTATTCAATGATTCAACCAAAACATTTATAATGCAATGTATAATGGAAGATATTCATATCCAGCATAAGTATGACATTACATTGTCTCTCAAATAAAACCTTATGAAGTGGAAGAAAATATTTTAATGTTTCTAGTTTTTCTGTGATTTGGGGTATTTTCCTCCTTCAAGAAGTTAAAAACAGTACTAATAGGGCTAGTAAAAATGGGCTTAATTATATGAACATGTTCTATTAAGTAACATATTTTAACCTTTAGTTTGTGCAGATGATGAACTAGAGGACAGAAGGATAATGAAAGGGACAGATAGGGATGGTAATGAAACACATGAGGAGGTTATTTTGGATAGGAGATTCTTTAGTATGGCAGGATAGTCAGTCTGTGGGGGCAAATAGGGGGAAAAGAATTAATTTATGATATCCAGGGGCAGGGGTGGATGATATAACCAACAGAGTAAATGAAATAATAGAGTTGTAGCAATGATGTAATTTTTGTAGTGCACATATAATGCAGATATAGAGTTTATTACAATTACATTACACTGTGCATAGTGGGTAGTGTTAAAGTGCTAAAATGCATATCAGCCTATATACAAATAACAAAGCAAACATTTGGAATAAAATATTTTTATCCACATTCAAATGCAGCCAACATTCTTTACATAGTTAAAGCACAAGTAACATAACTGATACATATTTATTAACTTATTATCTTCATACATTCATAGTACCAAACATAAAGTACAAACTTTAGTTCCACAAAAAGCACACCAGGCAGCTATTTGCACATATCTTTCCAAAACTTAGTCCATCACAAAGTTGAAAAAAAAGAATTCAATACCACATCCAGCAGTAAACATATACAACTATACATGCTGTTTTACTTAGACTATGATCCCATTTTTTCAAACCACTAAATGAAAAGAAAGACTAATACATGAAACTATACACTAGCAATCAAAATGCAGCCAACAAACCAGTTGTGGTATGTAGCTACTAGCAGGATGTAATATCATATCAAAATTCAAACATTTTAATTCAGAACACTTAGTCATGTAGTAACATGTAATGAAAAGGCAGTTTAAGCTGATTTTCAATGTTTTACTTCACAATGGTTTCAAATATAAGCACATCAGATACAGCTGACAGTTACACTTCAAATCTCTTTTCAAGCTTCCCAATGTTTTCTGCTGTTTGTTTGTTCTTTCAAAACCTTTAGCTTTAAAATCATTTTGTTTTTACATGAAGGTCCACTTTCATTTTTTTCTCAGCTATTTTCTGTAAGTTCATCTAACTTCATTAGTATTACTTCTACACTTGACTCCAGCTTGCCTTCAAGCCAGTCAGCTCCTTTTGAAAACTTTTTTTTTTTTTCAAATCACTTTCACTAGCAAATTTCTTCTTTTCCTCATCCAGATATAGCTGGTCCCTTGTCCTTGTACCTTTATATGTATCTAGCATCTTCTCTGTGATAGGTATATCAATAGTTATATCCTTTTCTTTCAAACCATGATATATCCTTCTGCATGAAGTAAGGCATTCCTTACTCATATTGACAGCCAAGATGTCTTTGTTTGTTGAGAACACCCTTTCTATTGATGACCGATCATGGGACAAGATGAACAGCATTTTGATGACATTCTAGAGTTCCTTGAAGGAATTTTTTATCCCTATGATGTCACAATACAAAATCATCAAGTCCATCTTTTCTATAGTCATAGCTTTTGAAAAATAGTCTTGTAATTTTCTTAGTCACAGTTTAAACTGCTAGAGTACATCATCACACTTGCCTGCTGACAACCATCTGAACTGAAAAAGTTTCTGCAAGATCAATTCAAATTTTACAATTGCTTTCTGTGGGCATTTAGTAATAAACCTTGGGTCCAAACCATTCACGTTCTTACAAAGAATATCTTGGAGGGCTTTTCTCCAGCAATTTCTTGGCCAAATTTTATCAAAAAGTGATGCATTCTTTCTAAAATT